TCGTGAGTCTAGGCACATTAGAATATCGAATTGCTAGAAGGATAAAGTCATTTATTTACATTTTTCAAAAATAATTTTTAGCGTCAGACATTGTACATTACTATTTAAATAAAACGATGAAACATCTATTTCTTCGGCTTCTCGTTTCAATGTCTAATCCTCCTACGTTTTCCGGCTGCACCCTTTTATGGTTTCTCCGGTGTCTCGCGTGTTTCCTTAACAGTTATTGTTCTAAAGTGGAGCACCTCTGAAACAGTCATATCAATTGACAGTTAATTGGAGACGGAAGGAAATTGCGAACGTGTGAAGGATGACCCGCCGTTGTTGAATCAGAGAAGCTGACGCAAGATTTTGCCAATCCCGAAGAAGGCGTGACGATTCGCACGTGGGTTTTTCGCTTATATTGTTTCGCAATGCTTCAATTGCCTCTGATCCCATTGAATATACATATGTATAAATCTTCAGGGTCGAATCTTGAGCTTGACTCGCTTCCTTAAGAGGACATTTTCTGAGAGGAGAATGTACGTAACGTATGCTGCCTTGTTTTAGAAATATACAATTCAATTGCATATATTAAACTTCTGTTATTTGAGTCAGCACTGGAAACGATATATATTTTATCTCGTGACTATTTCTAATTCTATTCGTATCATACTTGTTTTTTTCATTGATAAAAATATCTGTTTAAGAAACGTGTAAGTATAAAGAATCATCGATCGTGATTTATTTGATCTTTATTTCGTATTTGTACACGCCCTCAGCATGCTACATACAATCAATATAGTACAGTCCAATGCAGCCAAGGTAGAAGTAAAATACAAAAAATATATATATATATATTTATATATTTATATTCTACGTCGAAATTTAATATTATTATTACCACGATGTTATAACGCTGAATATATTGTGGGTAATAGCTAATAATATAATACAGAAGAAGAAGAGTGCTGATTACGGTAGGACACGTAATTCGGATTGAACATGATGCGGTCTTTTTATGGATGCTCTTCAGCGTTTGATCACGAGATCGCTAAGAGAAACGGTCCTTGTTTCTCAAATTCTCACTCTGTATCATCGTGTGTAACCGAAAGCAACGAACGGTCTTTTCAAACAGAAGAAAATTAAATCACAGCGTCCTTACGATGACCTGTTAAAAGATTTGCAAGGAAAGAAAGCTTTGATCGATTCCAAGCGTTCGACGAAAAATGAGACAAGTTTTTTCCTTTTTACAACACTACGTATGGCTATGTAGAAATACACGTAAAAAAATACACCTCAGAAACAGAATGAGGTTCTATGAGAAAATCGGTTTACTTTCTGTATGCTTCAAACGGAAGTACGCGCACAAAGAGAGACTTTTTCGTAGTAACGTTAATGTTCTTTATATACGATTTTAATAATTTAGTAATTAGTGTCTAAAGAATTCATTCGATTAAAAATACTATTAGTACAACTAGAAGCGCGCTATCTAAATTTATTGCTGTCGAAATGAAACGGAAATAGAAGCCCTTAAATGAATGTAAAGAGATAATGATCGTACTGATCATGAGCTAGTAATAATTATTCACAGTGGATCACCCTTCGAAAATTTATTTCGTTATGATCGATGATTAATTAAAAATGTAACATCGACCGCTACGCCTCAGATCCCCGGCGATTAAACATATTGCTTACACAGCCATACGTTCGATACGCGAGTGAAAAAACACGAACACCTAGGAGGAATAGATTATAGTTCAGGGACAGCACTCTGTAGAATTAAACGTTTCACGAATTATAGCGTGGACTCTCTTTTCATAGGATTAAGTTCGTTTGTTGTAAATAAGGATTCGGAAGAAGAGAAACGGGAAGATAATTCGTTGAAACCTTTCGAGTTTTCTGATTTCTTTATTAGAGCGTAGCCGGTAAGCGTTTATGGCAGCTTTATGAGGATGACTGGGGTAGCGACCGTCGTTAAAAGTCATCGAAAAGAAAACCTGACCCAACGGTGAATCAACAATAAAGACGAATAAATCCATAATTATTAACAGTAGTGTGTAGTGATATCAACTAATGT